TGGATGTGGGTACAGTTACAACATTTAAAAGATATTTGGATAAGTACATGAATAAGAAATGTATGGGCCAAACGCAGGCAGGTGGGACTAGTTTAGTTTGGGATTACAGTCAGCATGGACTGTAGACCAAAGTGGGTCTGTCTCCATGCTGCATGACTCTACGACTCTTGATAGAACCTTTGGGGGTGGTGGAAGGGGGTAAAGGTGAAGGAACTGAAAAACACAATCAATTAGCCTCTGCAGATTAGAGAAGAGTGAGAAGAACATTAACAGAGCAGGCATGGAGGAATGGATTAATGAGTGGTCTCGAGAAGAACTGGTGTGGCGTAAAGGAGGATTATATCTTAACACTGGGTATATGTGCACACGGTGCTATGTAATAGTAATGGTAGTTTACATAGGACTAAAGTCCAGGTCTGTAAAGCTCCAAGTAAGACGTTCTCTTTCACCATCCTCTGTATATAGTTATATAGCCAATCAAACCCCTGTCACTGTTCACTCACAAGACTGTAGATCTCATCTTACTATATTTGTAACAAGTGTTATTCTGCATATCCAACAGAAAGATGAGCATATGCTGGTTCCCATGTTAACACCTCTGAAATAGACCAAATCATCAAAATTAACAAGGAACTGCCCTTCAATCACAGTCCCTAAACCTGACTCATCAATTTACTTATAATCCTCTTTGAAGGAATCCTACAACAGGTACTACACATCATGAGTATGTCATTGGCTGGAAGGCACTTTGGGACATGGTCCTGAAGGAGCTGCATAGATGCAAGTCTTCTTCATTTTTAAAGGGGCTGAGGACCAACGACTTAATCATCTGTATCAGCTACGTTAATGATAATGGTGGTTTCCTCCCCCTGGAGGGGGGCCATCAGTGGCATAATGTCAACCTTCCATCCTCAGGACCGTGTTTTCTGAGCCTGGGCAGTAATCTTCCCTTTGGTCACCAGTCGCTCCACTATGGGAAGGAGGATATTCAATTGGAAAGGGTACAGAAAAAATTTACAATGGGGTTACCAGGACTGGAGGGTTTGAGTTATAAGGAGAGGCTGGCACTTTTTACCTGGAGCGTAGGAGGTTGAGGGGTGACCTTATAGAGGTTTATAAAATCATGAGGGACATGGGATAAGTGGAAAGCAAAGATCTTTTCCCCGGGGTGGGGAAGTCCAAAACCAGAAGGCATACGATTAAGAGGGGAAAAGATTTAAAAGGGACCTGACAGTGGTGTGTGTGTGGAACAAGCTGCCAGAGGAAGTGGTAGAAGCAGGTAAAATTGCAACATTTAAAAGACATGTGGATGGGTACATGAATAGGAAAGATTTGGAGGGATATAGGCCAAATGCAGGCAAATAGGAAACTTGGTTGGCATGGACAATTTGGGCCGAAGGGTCTGTTTCTGTGCTGTACGATTATTACTCTTAAGAGGATTCTGACGTGCAGCCCTACTTCACCTGTTCAAGAAATAAATGGTCCCTCACTGTATTTCACAGCTGATCCAGAGGATGATTTGCTTTTGATTTATGTATCTCCATGCAGAAATTAACAGCTTGCATATCAAAAATATTCTTATTTTTCTGTCTTGTAACCTTCAAAACACAGATCAATGGTTAGCCCCTCAACAGCACTACAGTAATATATAGTCAACACATTGTTATCAATAGCCAGGCTGCAGTGGCATGGTCAGTGGTTAGCACTGCTGCCAGTGACCCAGGTTCAATTCCACCCTCGGGCGACAGTCTGTGTGGAGTTTGCACATTCTCTTCTTTCCACAGTCCAAAGATGTGCAGGATTGGCCATGCTAAATTGCCCATAGTGTTCAGGGATGTGCAAGCAAGGTTGGTTAGCCATGGGAAATGCAGGGTTACAGGGATAGGGTGGGGTGTGGGACACTCTTCAGTGGTTCAGTGTGGGCTTGAATGGCCTGCTTCCACACTGTAGGGATCCGATGATTAAATTCTCCTCCCTTTACCTCTCCTTTGCCTTTTGTTCTACTACACCTTGCACCTTTAACCTTTCCCTGATCCCTTCTGCTCCACTTGCCCCTCTGCCTCCTGCAAAAAAAATCCTTTTTCCACCTCTTTTTCATTCTGAAGAAGAGTCATACTGGACTCGAAAGCTTAGAGTCATGGTCACAGAGTCAGAGTTGTACAGCACAGAAACAGAATCTTTGGTCCAACTTGTCCACACTAACCAGATATCCTAAACTAATCTAGTTCCATTTGCCAGCATTTGATCCATATCCCTCTAAACCCTTCCTATTCATGCACCCATCCAGATGCCTTTTAAAGTTGCAATTGTATCTGCATCTACTACTTCCTCTGGCAGTTCATTCCACACACGCACCACCTTCTGTGTGAAAAATTTGTCCCTTAGGTCACTTTTATCTTTCCCCTCTCACCTTAAATCTGTACCTTCTGGTTTTGGATTTCCCAACCCCAGGGAAAAGACCTTGTCTATTCACCCTATCCATGCCCCTCATGATTTTATAAACCTCTATATGGTCACCCGTCAGCCTCTAACACTCCAGGGAAAATAGTCCCAGCCTACTCAGCCTCTCCCTAGAGCTCAAACCCTCCAACCTTGGCAACATCCTTCTAAATCTTTTCTGTATCCTTTCAAATTTAACAATATCTTTAACACAGCAGGGAGATCAGAATTGCAGTATTCTAAAAGTGGCCTAACCAATGTCCTGTACAGCTGCAGCATGACCTCCCAACTCCTATACTCAGTGCACTGACCAATAAAGGCAAGCGTACCGAACACCTCCTTCACTCTCCTGTCTACCTGCAACTCCACTTTCAACTTTGCTCCATAGATGCTGCCAGACCTGCTGCGTTCCTCCAGCAGTGTCAGTTTTTATTTCAGATTTCTAGCATTGCAGAATTTTGCTTTTTGCATTAAACACTGCTGTTCACTTAAAAAAAGATAAGCTTTATTAGTTTAAGATATAAACACATCATCCAGTCAGGACCAGTTGAGACTTCCCCTCTTTTTAAAAGGGCATACAAGTGAAAGCCAGTTAGAAAGACTGACAAATTATGATTTAAATGGAGATTTGCATTGCCTTGCCACTATTTTGCAGTTCATGCAAGATATTCAAATTAAAACTATATAAATACCACATTTAAAAAAAGAAAATCAAACCATTTTCGCTTCTTGGTGCAGCAAAATATCTCAGTGATTGCCACCATTAGTATACAAAATTCGACCTTTAAATGTCATACACCCTTTGAAGTACAATTGGTTCAGAGTATAAAAATATTTTTTTTGCTCTAGTACCTTCGCAAGTTTAACAATTTCAAAAGGTTAGATACATTCAAATTGGTTTTAAGAGAACAAAAGTGACTTTAGTCAAGATATGTGGCTGGGAACTTGGCAGTGTAATTCCCAGCATTCTGGATAATCCCAAACTGGATATGTTCTTCAATCCCAAAGTATGAAGTACTCCTTGTTATTGCTTTGACTTGCCTCCCTCTCCTTTTGAATTGAATCATTTTATTTCGCAATATAGGCTTTCCACCACAGTTCAAATATACATCATGTGAAATCACACATTGGTTGAAATTACTCATTTTGTTTTGTTCCAGTTGCCCCAGGAATCAAATATTTGGCAACATGTGACTGGTGCATAGATTCCATTCATTCTGGCCAAAATACTCAGTGTTGTCTCACAATTAATTATGGGATGTTCCATACAGAGGAGGAACTAGAAGTTTACAAGTTGGATACAGGACCTTCATGGCTGCTGTTTTACAATTCAACTCAATTAACTCAACCTTTTCAACAAACACAATGTGAAATCACTCTTTGACCGGCAGGGGGGGGGTTGCGCTGGGAATCCTGCAGGAAGCAACTCACCTCCTGACTCCCTAAATCTATCTATAAGGCACAAGTAAGTTTGACGAAAAACTCTCCATTTGTCTGCATAAATGCAATGCCAACAACACTCAAGAAGCTTGACACCATCCAGGACAAATTTGTTTCCTATTGAATCCCCCACCTTCAACACTCACCCTCCACCACTGGTGCACAATCACTACCATTTAGAAAGATAAAGGCAACAGATACACGGGAACACCAAACCCTGCAAGTTCCCCTCCAAGCTGCTCACCACAACAACTATGAAGATAGTGTGTACTGACCCTATGATGGTACATGAGATTGATGGCAAGTAAGAAGCTAACACCACCAAATTTGTGAAATGCACAGGGTATACTCCTCTGGCAGATGTTCAAAAGTAATTCTCCTCTGGTAGATATTGATAGAAGGAATCTGACAGGACGACTTGGCTCCTGATTTCATGATAATCTTGGTCCAAACATGGACAAAATAGCTGAATTCCAGAGGTGAGATGATAGTGATAGCCCTTAACATAAAGGCTGCATTTGACTGAGTGTGGCATCAAGGAGCCCTAGCAAAACTGGAGTCAATGGGATTCAGGGGGCAAACTCTCTGCTGGTTAGGGTCATACCTGGTACAAAGGAAGATGGTAATGGTAGTTGGAGGTCAATCATCTCAGCTCTAGAATACTGCTGCAGGAGTTCCTCTAGACTCATCCAGTTCCAGTTAATTCACTAATAACTCCTTTATTGATGATTGCCTAATGTTCAGTACCACTTACAACCCCTCAGATACTGAAACACCCATGTATATATGCAGCAAGACCCTGACAGCTCTCAGGTTTGGCAGGGTAATCAGTAAGTAACATTAGTACCACCCTAGGGCAATGCAATGACCATCTCCAATAAGAGAGAATCTAACAATCGCCCCTTGATATTCAATGGCATCACTACCACCAAATCCCCCCACCATCGACATTCGGGTAGTCACTATGAACCCGAGATTCAACTGGCCAATCATATCAATGCCATGGCTACTAGAGCAAGTCAGAGGCTGGAAATTCATTGGTAAACAGATAACCTGACAATTCCCTAAACCAACTGCATCACTGAGAAGGTACAGGTAAGGTTTATGATGGCATTCTTTCTACTTGACTGGATGACAGTAAGAGCAGCAACACTCAAGAAGCTGAATACTTTCCAATAGACAGCAAAGATGAATGGCACCTCAACCTTTAGCTTAATCTTTCACTACCATGCAACAGGAGTATATTGCCTACCACATGCAGAATACACTACAGCATCTTGCCAAAGCTTCTATATCAGCACTGCCCAAACCCATGATCTGTACCACCAACTAAGGGCAAGGGCACCTCAATGTTCCCCGCCCCCAAAGTTCTCACACTTTTCATGGCTTGGTCATATGTTATCGTTCATTCATCATTACTGGGTCAAAATCCTTCACATTCCTTCGTAATCCTACCACTGCCACACAAAGGATTAGCAAAGATGTCCACTCTACTTTCTTAATGGGAATGCGAAAGAAATGCTGGCAATGCCCACATCCCAAAAATGAATAAATGGTATAGTGGTATTGTCACAGAACTAGTAAGCTGGGGACCCAGGTTCAAATCCACATGGCAACTGGTTGAATTAGAACTCAAAGATCTGGAATTAGAAAAAGGATAACAATGGCCAAAAAAAATATTCTACTGAAAAATCCATCATGGTTCACTAATGTTCTTTTAGGGAAGGGAATCTGCTGTCCCTACCTGGTCTGGCCTACATGTGACTCCAGACCCACAGCAATGTGGTTGACTCTTAACTGCCCACTTGGGCAATACATGTTGGCCTAGCCTGTGATATCCACATCCCGTGGATTAATAAATAAAAAATAATTCCACTATCTTGCAATTAGAAGTGAGACAACAGCGTCGAGTGTTTTGATGATGAATGTGAAGTGTGGGAAAGTGGATTAGGATTATGAAGACAATTGGAATGCCAGGGAAGCTGGCAGGAATACACCAGTGGGAAGGCTATGTTTGGAAGTTGTGGACAACATCGCTGCGATGGATAATAAGGTAGGCCGTGTTGGACTTTCCAAATGGCTTCAAATCCAGTTATTTCAGGCACTTTTCTTCTAATTGAGAGTTAGCCTCAATGACAACATGGTTTGCCCCCAGAATGCAATCTGGCAGAATCATGTTCCGAACGTCAAAGTTCCTTTGGCCCTCAATGCGTTGCAGCCACTTGATGGTTCAGCTGAGATGTGTTTGGTCCAAGAAAGCCCAGGCGTTGCTTGTTCTTTCGTTGCTCGGTCATCTGCAGAGGAAAGTAAAAACTCTGCATCAAGAACAATTACGCAGCAAAGCTCGCCATGCCTGTGCCAATTTCTCCACAGCTCTGAAAAATCTTAATTTAAACCTAATTTCCTAGTCAACCTGTTCAGCGATGTTATTACTCACCTCTGGAGCAGGTGGGATTTCAACCCAGGTCTCTCAGTTCAGGGTAGGGACACTATCACTGTGCCAGATGAGGTCCCCCCCACCACCTCCCACAGCTTTGTTTTTTTTTTATATGACCTATTTTTCTAATCAACTTGTTCGAAGATGTTAGTACTCACTTTCGCAACAGGTGGGACTTGGGGTTCAGGGGCAGGGACACTACCACTGTACCACAAGAGGGTCCCCTCTCCACGCAGCTTTGTTTGTTGTTTGGGCTCGACCACTACACTACACCTTCCCTTCTTCTCTGTCTTTATAGGAACCACAGGAGACCATTCAGCTGTTTGACCCTGTTTCATCATTCTGTAATTCCTGATCTGTGACCTAATTTTACATCCCTGCATTTTCCCCATGTCACTTATGTGTTTGATAAGCAAAGATACAATGATCCCAGATTCAAATTTGATAATTGACCCAGCATTGATTGCTGTTTGTGGTAGAGTGTTCCAAACTTCTACCAACCTTTGTACATAGAAGTCTTTCCTAATGTCATATTGTAAGGTCTGGCTATAATCTTTAGACTCTTCTTCTTGGTCCTAGATTCCTTGATGAATAGAAATAGCTTCTTGGTCTCCTGTACACCAGGGAGATGAAACGTAGACTGCATGACCATTTCGCAGAACCCCTACGTTCTGTCTGCAAAAATGACCCTGAGCTTCCAGTTGCCTGCCACTTCGACACATCACCTGTTCCCTGGCCAACATCTCTGTCTCAGGCTTGCTGCAGTGCTCCAGCGAAGCTCAGCACAAACTGGAAAAACAGCACCTCATTTTCCACTTGGAAACTCGACAGGCTTCTGGACTCAATATCAAGTTTAACAATTTTAGGGCTTGAGGCACCACTTCCCATGTCCTTACCCCAGCCTCCACACACCAGGCCTTGTTATCACATGGGCTACCACCACAAATGTTCGCCATTAACATCTCTTCATTCCCCCAGACTGAACTTAACCCGTTTTTTTTCTGCCTCCAAATGATTTTCTCTCTCTGGGCTCCACCTATTGTTTACTACGCCCCCACCACCACCCCACCCCACCACCACTACCCCACCCCTTCTCTAGTATATGTACCAACCTTTTCCTGGCTACAATCAGTTCTGAAGGAGGGTTACTGAACCAGAAACGTTAACTGTGATTTCTCTCCACAGGTGCTGCCAGACCTGCTGAGATTTTCCAGCAATTTCTGATTTTGTTTCTGATTTCCAGTATCAGCAGTTCTTTGGCTTTTTATTTTAAGAAATATTTTCCTTCCATTTATCATTCATCTTTGAAATCTCAATGACTTTGATCCAAAACCCAGGGAATTATGACAATAGTTTGTTTCATCTCATCTTGTAGTTTAAGCGTTTGAGTCAAATACATTTGTATTGCAAGGCTTTCAAACCCTCAGAGAACCTACTGAAGATATGGTGACCAGCACTTCTCATAAATACTCCAGGGGTGGTCTGAAAGGTGCTGTTTGAATCTTCTTTTACCTCCCTTTTCAGGTTGAGATTGCAATAAAATAATTTCTTCTCCTCCTGGCTGTTTCACCAAGCTCCCCTTTCCACCCATCCCGGCATCAATATTTTTAGACAGTATTTCTTTACCTGTTCCTTCAGTTCTGACAGCTGGCCAGACAGTTGCATCACCAGATTCATGGTTGACTCCAACTTATCCTGCAAACTTCGGATTTCGTTCTGTTCACTATCACCTTCATTACTGACCAGTGAGATGGCACGCATCCGTGGGAACCAATCCAGGTTTTTCTCCTAAAACCAACCATGGAAATGAGTGAGGGATTTCAGAATGGAGCACAGAGTTCTTTTTCTACTTAGGACCCATTAATCATAGAATCCACGCAGGGTGGTTAGAGGCCATTCACCCCATCGAGCCTGCACCAACCCTCTGATGAGCATCCCACCTAGACCCATTCCCTTATGCTGTAACCCTGCATTTCCCATAACTAACCCACCGAGACTACACATCCCTGGACACAATGATCAATTTAGCATGGCCAATCTACCTAACGTGCACATCTTTGGACTGTAGGAGGAAACTGGAGCACCCGGAGGAAAACCGCACAGATACAGAGAGAATGTGCGAACTCCACACAGACGGTCACCCGAGGCTGGAATTGAACCCAGAACCCTGGTGCTGTGAGGCAGCATTGCTAACCACTGAGCCATCTGTCAAGTTCAACCCATGAAAGGAAGAAGCCTTTAATGATCTTGGTAAGTCCCAAAAGAAATTACAGCCACTTGTGTTTTTCAAACTGCAGCCACTGTTGTAATGTTAGAAACTTGAATATCAATTTGAGCTGTAAATTTATAGAAATGTAGAAAATAAGAGGAGTAGGCCATTCAGCCTTTTGAGCCTGCTCTATCCTTCAATTTGGTTCAACATGGTTCCACCATTCCAACTCAGTGCCTTGCTCTCAATTTCTCCTCATTCTTTGATCACTTCAGCCCCAAGAACAATACCTAATGTCTTGAAATTGTTCAATGTTTTGGCTTCAACCACTTTGTGGTAGAGAATTCCACAGGCTCACCACTCTCCGGGTGAAGACATTTCTTCTCATCTCAGTCCTGAATGGCCTATCCTAGATCCTTAAAGTAGGACCCCAGGTCACTGGGAACATCCTTCCTGTGTTTATTCTGTCTAGTCCTGTTAGAGTTTTATAGGTTTCTATGAGATTCCCCACCCCACCTCATTCTTATCAATGATCATTTGATAACTCAATAATCAATAACTTGAAAAGAAACAAGATCATATTTAATTAAAAATGTGTAGGTATGTAGACATAGAATCATAGAGTCTCTAGAGTGTGGAAACAGGCCCTTCTATGATGATTCTATGATTCCCAACTTGTTCAAAACTAGTTACAGAGCCATACAGCATGGAAACAGATCCCTTGGTCCAACCAGTCCATGCTGACCATTTTCCCAAACTAAATTAGTCCCACCTACCTTCGTTTGGCACATACCTCCCCAAACCATTCCTATTCATGTACTTATCCAAATGTCTTTTAAACGTTGTAACTGTACCTGCATCCACCACTTCCTCTGGCAGTTCATATCCACAAATGAACCGCACTCCGAATCCTTATCCCCTGCTGTATAAATGGTTGTGATGCTTTAAAGTTTGGCAAAATTTGTGAAGAGGTTTGGACAAGGTAATCTTGTGCTTGTCAGAGTTTTGATGAGCAAGAGATGACTTGACTGAAATGTAGAAGATTCTGAGGGAGCTGGACAGGATAGATGTGGGGAAGGCGTTTCCACTTATGGGACAATCTAGAATGAGGAGTCACTGTTAAAGATAAAGATGAGGAAGACTTTTCTTTTAATCACAAAGGGTTGAGAGTCTTTGGAATTTTCTTTTTCAAAAAGTGGAGGGAGCAGAATCTGCATCTTTAAGGCAGAGGTAGATAGGTTCTTAATAAGTAAGAGAGTGAAAGGATTATTCAGGATTGTGGAATCGTATAGATCAGCCATGATCTTATTGAACGATGGAGTAGACTTGAATGGCTTACTTCTGCTCCTAATTCACTTCTCTGTGCAAAGCCTCAACTGCATGGCTCTCTTTTTCCATCGGGATTCAAGTTTTATACTACCAAACAACTCCTATATTGGAAAGCAAGAGAACAGGACGAGACTATTTATTCAGTTTACGGTTGGACCTGTAGCTTAATTCTACTTGAGTGCCTTGTTTCTACAATCCTTAAAGTAGCCCTACATTGACCAGCTGTGTGTACTTGTTCACATGCATTACAGTACTTTTCCTGACAGAGAAAGCACCATGATACAGTGATACAACAGATAAGAAAATTCCCTGCCAGCCTATGCTAGCATCTTTTCGACAGTGATTTAAATGGCTCGGGTCGATTAAGGAAAGAAACCTGGTTTTGGCACTTTGAGAAACAACCAATTTGATCTTGACACTTGAACAGGATCTATACTGGATTAAGACAGATGACCAACTACCTGCGCCCTTACACTGACTGATAGGCATTCTGTTCTTTCTTTCCCAGACAGTAGTTCATTACTTGTACAGCCAAGACTGTTCTCATTTGGCTGAATTTCAAGTGCTAATTGATTTTGGCACAGGAGCCATTCCATCAATCTGACAACAACTGACAGCTACACGGAGTCATTGTAATAAATTGCCCCCTTGATATGGTTTCTCGTTTGCTGACAGACACTAATAGGATTACAAGGACTACATGTTTCTTCTACATTGCAGAATGTATTTTTCGTATCGACGAAATAGACAATGGGAGATTGATTCGCATCTCGCAGAATGGGAAATATTGTGCATTAAATTGCACGGAATCTGAAGACTGCATTGTGCCAACCAAGGTGAGGGCTGTGGCAAGGCAGGGAGACACGGAGTTCGCATGGGCAGCCTGAGAGGGTGTGTATTGGCATGGAGGTGAATGAGGGATGAGGTCTAGAGGGGGCTTTAAACACTTGGAACTGGGGTGCCGAGTTGGAAAACAAAGTGGCCATTCTAACAGGCCTGCGTCCAAAAGAAAAAAGATGGCTCACTCATTCCAACTCTCAACAATTCCACTCACGGATCATAAGAATACCAGCATGGCAGCACACAAACCAGATTAACCTTGGCTTTCTCATACAAAGTAACTCTCAGTGCTCTAAGTACTAGCCACAAACTAGCAGCGTTTACATTATCCCACTGGATATTGCAGGACTCACCATGATCATTTGTGCCACGTAACTTTCAGGTCCAGTGTACTCAGTCGGATCCTTGACTTTGATTAAGACTATGAAATATAAATAGTACCACATATTGTGTTCGACCTTGATGTGCTCCTCAAAGGACACGGTCTTGTTATCAAACTTGTCTCTTTCAAGTCCTGCCAACAAAAGTTCACAAGAAAAGAATTCATTAGCAAGTCATTCATACTTGGCTTGCTGATGGTTAAGTTAAAGGAAATGGTATTTGGTCCTTGATGCATTGGGTTTGATAAGAATGACTAAGCTTTTGACTCCATAGACCATATGGAGGTACATTTGGGGGACCTCAGGTGTCTACATTTATGTTGTCAGGAAATTGCTTATATTAACTTAACTGGATCTGATTTAGGATCTATCCACCAACAAGACATCAGCACCAAAAGCTAAAGTGACAGGCTGGAAAATTCAAGTGGGCTGAAGCAAAGAGGTTATTTAATAAAGACTCAGATCACTGGGCTCATACATTCACACAAGGCACAAGGCACGAGAGTTTCAGGAAAACTGCCAACACAGGTTGGATATAATTCAGGGTGGCACGGTGGCTCTGTGGTTAGCACTGTTGTCTCACAGCACCAGGGACCTGGCTTTGATTCCACCTTCGGGCAACTGTCTGTGCAGAGTTTGCACATTCTCCCTGTGTTTGTGTGGATTTCTTCCGGGTGCTCCGGTTTCCTCCCACAGCCCAAAGAGGTGCAGGTTAGGATGGATTGGCCATGGAAAATTGTCGGTAGCGTTCAGGGACGTCCTGACTAGGTGGGTTAGGCATGGTAAATGTGGGGATCTGGGGATAGGGTAGGGAGCCGGGCCTGGGGTAGATACTCTTCGGAGGGTTGGTATGGGCTCGATGGGTCAAATAGCCTCCTTCAGCACTGTAGGGATTCTATGATTCTAACTTGTCTCTATGACTTAGAACACCCACACCCCCAGCAGTGGTCACCCAGCATATCAATGTGTGTTCAAACAGGTCCATGGAGCTCACATCGACCCTCCGAAAAAGCATCCCACCCAGACCCAGCCCCCTACCCTATCCCCAGATCCCCACATTTATCAGGCCTAATCCACCTAGTTTGGGCATCCCTGGACACTACGGACAATTTCCCATGGCCACTCCACCCTAACCTGCACACCTTTGGACTATGGGAGGAAACCCACACAGACACAGGGAAAATGTGCAAACTCCACACATACAGTCACCCGAGGGTGGAATCGAACCTGGGTCCCTGGCGCTGCTAGCCACCGTGCCACCCTTTGTTATCTTGAGGCAACTCTCGAGATCTCTCCTGATTAGAAGAGTGGGCCTGCCACAAACACAACACTGTAGGCCACCACAATGAGAGACTGTTTCACACAAAGCTGTGGGTTCTTGGAGCCCCATGTCAGCCTGATGAAGAGAGCTTCACAAATGCACAGAGAAAGCCCTGCCCTTTTCAATACCACAGTCTCCTCTTCTCCTTCGCCAGCACTCCTTTGTGGTGGAGGATGACATTTTTCTGCTCTGGAGTTGTGGCTCCTGAGGGGATTGAACAACGCAACGTTGGATCCACCCACCGTGGCCTTGCTATAGTCCAGCAAAGCAGAACACTGTGGTAAAGCTCAGAAACAAAGCGACCTCTTAACATGGCACAAGTGCAATGCCCCAAAGGATAGGGGAAGCAGCTTCAGGTGTGGCTTTCAAAGGGGAAATTGGTTAAGCAAAGGAAGGGATAAAATGTGCAGAACTTCAGGGAAGGGGTAGGGGGTGCTGTTGAGCAACTGTGGAATAAACTACATTGTTCTGGCAATAGGACAACACAATTACAGTGGGCTGAATGGCCTCATGCTGTTTTGCAATCATTCACAATGGAAAGAAACTTTACAAAATATACCAGCCAACTGAATAGATTAAAACAGTCAGGATGGGGACACCTTTAACTGAAACAAGAATAGATTGCTTCCATTAAACATTATCATTTTGTCATATTCATAGAGTTGTACAGCATGGAAACAGACCCTTTGGCCCAAATTGTCCATGCTTACCAGATATCCTAAATTAATCTAGCCCCATTTGCCGGCCTAAACACTTCCTATGTATTTTTGTATGTTCCCTCTACCCATTCCGCAATTCTGAATCAAAAGAAGACCACATTTCCTATGTTGTGGCCTTTGACAAGTACCTCTGGATGATGGGAAGTGTAGATATGGGGAGACAATGGCCTAGTGGTATTAGCTATTAGACTATTAATTCAGAAGCCCAGATCTGGGAATCTGGGTTCAAATCCTGCCACGGTAGATGACGGAATTTGAATTCCATAAAAAATAAAATCTGGAACAACGACCACTGTTGAGTGTTGCGAAAGCCCATCTGGTTCACTAATGCCCTTTAGGGAAGGAAACTAAAATCCTTCCTGGTCTGGCCTACATGTGACTCCAGACGCACAGCAGTGTGGTTGACTCTCAACTGCCCTCTGGGGCAATTAGATGCTGGCCTAGTCTGTGACACCCACATCTCCTGAATGTATAAAGAAAATACATTTACTCTTTAAAACCAGGAGTTTCCAAAGAAACTGCTGGGTTCAAAGAGTTGGCAAATCAGATGGCAGCTGCAGTTTGATGCAGAGATATAAAGTGGTACACTTGGCACAGAAACAACAAGACAGGAAGCTTAGAATAAACACAGGAATGTTGCATCCATGATATCAGAATGATCTAAAAAGTTTTACAGGCAACGCAATGCTTCATAAAATATTCACTGCTGTAAGGTAGGAAACACTGCAGCCATTGTGCACATACAAAGTCTCAGAGACAGCAATGACATAGATGATGATTGGATAATTAGTTTTTCATCATGTTGGTTGAGGCCTAAATGTTAGCCAAGGAAAGGGCAAAATTCCCTGTGCTTCTTCAGTTAATGCTGTGGGATCCTTCCATGCACCTAGACAGCAGACTCTTTGGTTTAATGTCTTTCTGTAGGAGGGCAGCACCGAGTCTCTGAACACTGCATTGAAATCCCAGCTCAGGCCTCTGGTGTGGTGCTTGAACCCACAATTCCCTGAGTCAAAGTCCACGAACTGACCATACAGGCCAAAGTGGACATGGTAAACAAATCTTTAGATGTTGGGAGCATTCTGTTCACCATTCTTTCATGGGATGTGGACATCACTAGTAAGGGCAGCATTTGTACTGTATCCCTTCGACTGACAGGGACTTGCTGTGCAATGTTGTAAGCTGCGGAGTTACAAATGGGTCAGACCAGATAAATAGGCAGATTTACTTCCCTAAAAGCAGGCAGAGAGAGTTTAGGCCGGTTGAGTAGTTGGTGGCATCTGTATTGGCAAGGTCCAGCAAGGACCCATAGTGACGAGGGCATCGGTGGAGGTGAGATGGCGCCAAACAGTGACAACTTTCATTCCAGTGGCAGCAGCAAAGGAGACTCATGCCTGGCCACCAGGCTCATGGTGGAGCACTTAATAAGAACATAGAACATAGAACAGTACAGGCCCTTCGGCCCATGATGTTGTGCCAACATATTATCCTACTCCAAGATCAAATTACCCTGCATACCCTACATTTTACTATCCTCCATGTGCCTATCTAAGAGTTGCTTAAATGTCCCTAACGTATCTAACTCCACTACCACTGCTAGCAGTGCATTCCACACGCCTACCACTCTCTCTAAAGAGCCTACCTCTGACATCGCCCCTATACCTTCCTCCAATCACCTTAAAATTATGTCCCCTTGTGATAATCATTTCCGCCCTGGGAAAAAATCTCTGGCCATCCACTCTATCTATGCCTCTCATCATCTTGTACACCTCTATCAAGTCACCTCTCATCCTTCTTCGTTCCAATGCGAAAAGCCCTAGCTCCCTCAACCTTTCCTCACAAGACCTGCCCTCCAGTCCAGGCAGCATCCTGGTAAATCTTCTCTGCACCCTCTCTAAAACCTCCATATCCTTCCTATAATGAGGCGACCAGAACTGAACACAATATTCCAAGTGTGGTCTAACCAGGGTTTTATAGAGCTGTAGCATAACCTCGTGGCTCTTAAACTCCATTCCCCTGCCAAGAAGGACTGTAAAGTTGGACACTTCCTTTACTTCTTCATTTGTTTCTGCCTTTATATTATATATTAGGGTTTATTTTTGTGCTTTAAGATTGCACCGGAGACTGGCCACACCATACAATAATTTTCACTGTATTTTGTAACAAAATATACGAGTCAATAAATAAATCAAAGGGTGGATTAGCCCATTGATGAACCAGATGGATTTTTACACAATTCCACAGTCACTATTAACTGAGACGAGCTTTCTATTTCAGTTTTTATAACAGAACTTAGACTGCACCAGCTGCGATGGTAGGATTTGAACCCAGGTTCTGGAGCATTAGAGTGGACTTCTGAATGACTAGTCAAATGACATTACTACTCCCGCAACAATACATGCAAATTCAAAAGGCAACAGGGGTTCTGCATATTGTTCGTGAGGCACCTAATCATAAAAGTAAGGACATTGGTACAAGACACCAATCAGACTACAGTTTAAAATGTGTGCCATTCTAGATATTTCATTCCAGGAGGACTATTCGAACTGATGCCAAAGGGACAGTGGATGATTCATTTGAGCGAGATTTTTTTCCCCCAAAAAGGCTGGGAGCAAATCCAATAAAGTGATAAAAGTTTTTTTCTGACAGAATAAAAGATAGAAATGTCATCGAGACTATGAGGAGGGCATGGAGAACTGAGGAAAAGTCAGGACAAATGCTTTCATGCAGACAGTTATTAGAATATGTAATGTGGTGCTGCTGAGACTAAGCATAATTTAAAAGATAACTGGAAAAGTATAACCATTTAACATGGGGAAAAGAACACAGAGTAACTGCACCAAAATCCATCAATGCTCATGTTAATACTGGCCCTCCCTGCACAGTGTACACACCAATTAAATCTGAAATCATAGCAAGTACTTATTAACAGAATACTACACCAGAGCAGGAACTTCTGATACAATACAAACATTATTTGAGGTATGAATTATCAAGCCTTTCCTTCCAAATATTATCGTGGAATTACGATTTAGTTTAATGGACTGTGTCATGAGTATTAAAGAATGACTGAATTTCCTGCCGTTATCTTAGTAAT